ATACAAAAATTTACTGTTCTTGAACACTTTAATGGCCACTATTTTATTTTGTGTTTTTGCCTATTAAAAGATAAACACGTGTTATCTTATATAAAATGTTGCAAAGTTATTAACAAAATATGTTCATCGTATGGTATTATTTTTTATCCAAAACAAATCGTTATTGATTTTGAAAAAGCAATACACAACGTATGCAATTTAATTTGGCCGAATTAGAAATTATTAGGTTATAGATATCTCAAAGTTGGTGGATAGCAATACAGAGATTTGGTTTAATTATAAAATAAAAACTAAAATCGTAGATTAGCTCAGAATTATCTTTGGATTCATATTTTTAGACTCTGAAGATGTTTAGATTTTTTTTGCCATTGAATTATTAATAAAACAGAATAACTCGAAATTTAAACAGTTTGCTGATTATATATAAATAACCACAGTAGAAGCAATATACCCACCAAGTATATGGACTCAATGTAGCGCAGAATTGAATTTAACTACTAACGCATGCGATTCGTTCCACTTGCATCTAGCTCAATCCTTTAATAATATAGATCCACATATAAACCACTTTTCAAAAGCTTTATTAGAAATTCAAACATACATTTTCAATAAATTAAATATTATTGATAAACCTTATATACTCAGAAATTCTCGACCAAAAACACGCCAACAATATTTAAATACCATACATTTTTCATTCGATGAAAACAATATTACTATGATAAAATTCGTCAAAACTGAATCTAATCACTATAAAACTTAGTTTTAAATTTTATTTAAGTAATTTTAATTTGACCAGCTAATAATCACATTCACAATTATATACTTATTATTATTATTGTTTTTTTTTCCAAACAAAGTTATAGTTGTGGATTATTATAAATATTTTTAAATAAATGTATAAAGATAAATAAGTAATAATAATAAGAAATAAATAATATTACGTCTTACTGTTAATTTTATTACAGATCGATAGAACGTTTTTAATGTACATGTTATAAATCTAACCTTAAAATTGACTGCCTATATACATAATTTACAATCGCCATAAGAAATAATATATTTTTGTTATCAACATTAAAAATATTAATTTAATTTGATCTAGAAAAATTACTATGTAAAAAAATAGGAGTTGTTATTAGCTGTTTGCATGATACGGACGATGTTGGAGTTGGCAAGGTAATTAGAGGAAAAGCAAGGAATATAGGAGGGGACAAAAATACGAGTGGTACAGGAAGGAACTCTGAAATTGATTTGGAATAAGAAAGGAGAATCAATTTTTATGGAAAGACAATTGAAAAGAAGGAGAGATTAGCCACGAACCGCCGATCAGCAAGTGAAGAAAGATTATTATAGCATCGTATATTGAAGATGATTTCATATGAACTTAAACCATAGGTTTAAATTATTAGTATAGTTTTTGTCACATTTTAAGTATAAGAACAAACAGCAAGTATTATTGACCTTGAATTATGTTTTGAGTATAAAATACAAAATTAAATATTTTGTTTTATTAATTATAAAATAATTAATGATAGAAATGTATGTTTTTACATTATGGTTGTTCTTATAAATAATGACTACAAAAAAAATAAAAAATAAATTTAAGTTTAATAAATCATCATGCGTTTAGAAGAAGGAAAGAAATATTTTTCTTGTCGAATATACTGTTAAAAGTTTTATAAAATTCTTGTTTTAGTAACATGGTTATGAATTTGCTTTCTGAAAAATTGTTTATATTTATTAAAAAAATATTTTTTTCAGATTATATAGTTAATTAAACATATGTGAAGATAAAAATATTTCTGTTGTTTTTATTCTAATTGTTGTCAAAATATACGCTATTTAAAACTATTTATTTAAATTTAGTATTTGAAATCAAAGAGGAAAAAAAATATTATAACAAAAATAATTCCATACAGTTCTTTATTCACTACTTTAAATTATAAAAATTTTAAATTTAAAAAGTTTGAAATGTACACTCTATGAATTTATGAATTTTTGTATATCATCAAAAATCTTATCCGAATTTTCTTCCAAGTTCTATGTATGGATATGAATTTCCTTAAGTATTCACAATTTATGAAAATTTAATAAGTATTAACATCAAAATATTTGTGTTGTCAAATTTGAAATTTTATCGTACTCTATATATTTTTATTGGAACAGAACTTTGAAATTAAAATATTAAAGTAAATTCATAATAAATGAAGTTTAAAAATAATAACTATATTACGATATAATTTAAAACTATCATCAATTTTTGTTTTGTGCGTTGAAGGATTCAACCCTTTATATCAGATATATCTATTTAATTGTATTTTTTTATTAATTTATATATGAAAATCGGTTTTCAATTGCAACAACGATAATAACAATAGTATACCGTAATAGAGTAATGAATAACAATAATAATAATATAAATTGTAGTTTAAAATTAAAATATAAACAATAGAAAAAATAATAATTACGATTATTTATACTATGAAAATATACTTTTATAAATATATTATATTGTATCTTGCACTTTCGCAATATTTTTCTTGTACGATTTTATTTTAATCCATGAATTATTTTACGATTTATATTAAGCTTGTATACTTTTTAATATGTTTACCAAACCATATACCATGGTACATTAATGTTTTAAAATAAAGTCAATATTAATGTTCGTTTTTAATATATTTTTTTGATTTTTTAACAGGTAAGAGTTTATACGTGGAATATTGTAAAAATTACGAGTAGTTGGTGAATACCGGTGAGTAAATGATATGGAGGATTTTAGTTTATGATTATCAAAAGTTTCCGTATTTATGATAATTTATTACTGATTTATATTGTATACCGTTTACCGTATAGTATAAATAATAAAGTACTTATATCATCTCGAATGAAAAGTTTTTAATTTAGTTTAATTCACTAGTTGAGTATTCATCAGATGTACTGTTATTGTCTGTATTGATTTCCTAAATTTAAATTAAATATTCTTATTGATATTGTTTTTTTCTAAAAATTTTTAAAATTAAAAACACAATGATAAGTGGTTTTAAAAATATTATGGTAAATCATTGATGATTTTTATCACAAGTCGTACTCGGTACATAAAAGATAAATATAATGAATTAGTTTAATACTTTTAGTTCTATCGAGAATCAGCAATATATTGCTTATAACTTGTTTTACTATTCCGTAGTAGATCTAATTGATCTAATTGATTTAACACAGGAATATCAAAATAAATGAATATCTAAATTTAATGTAAATTATTGTACATTAATTTTGACAAGAATATGACTAAACAATATAATAATCAGAAACAAAAAATTATGTTAAAATCTTATGCCCAGCCATACTTCTATGACGCATTATAATTCGAATAAAATGGGTCTCGATTGATGAAATAGTTAAATATTTCTTCCGACTTCATTCTTTGTAAAGTAATCGTTGTAGGTATTCGTTTTTGTTCGATTTTCCTTAGAAAGCAGTTGAAGTATCTTATAAATTTATAGTTGTATTTGTCTTGTTTCTATAAAGTTCACAGAATGTATACAAATAATTTATAACTTGCATGTATAAATATTGGAAAAAGTAGCAAGATAATTTTAATATAATGTTTAAAGTTAATAGTTTAATATAATCTGAATTTGTCTTTAAATAATCAATAAATGTAAAATTACTTGGTGTAAGTTAACATCAATTTTTTTAAATAAGAGTATACATTATGTCAAAACTTAAGCAATTTGCTTAATCAGGAAATGTTGTTAAAAATTACAATAGCATATTTACATAAATGCTTAAAAAATAACGTTAGAAAAAAATTAATTCTTAAAACTAGTAAGTTTTCCTAATGGTAATCTGTGAGTTACTTTTTTTTAGAGATAATATTATTTAAAACAATAATACAATTTAAAAATAATTTCTAAAAAAATAAAGTTTTGTTCTTAATGCAAAACTTCAAAACTATATTTAAATAATATGCAAGTAATGTTTTTTCTTTGATGTTTTATATTTTATGTATATAAATCTTAACTTTGAATATACTTTGGTCATACACTTATATATTTGAATTCTAATTGTGAAGATTTCTTGATAAAAATAATAATAATAATAATATTCTGATATATTTTATATTATTTATTCAAATTTATAATGCCGTCAATACAAAAAGAAGAAAATTCGGAAAAATAATTACTGAACTATCAAAAACATACGTAAACTCTTTAATTTTAATTATCATCTACAGTTAATTATTTATAATTAAGATATAGTGAAAATCAAACGCGTTCTTGGTGTTAAGAAAAATTACAATTTTCAAGGGAAAACCGTGGAAATGTATATATCCTAGATACTAGACACTAAATGTCCTAAATTCTTATGTTCTGGTAGATAATTAGAAAACTATGAACCTAAATCATTTTAAATCGTATAATATTGCTTCGAAAATGGATTAATATGTATCGATGACGTTAGGCATCTATAATTTAAAAAAAAAAAAAAACAATATCTATCTTAATATTGATTGAAAATGATTAAATACGAGGGAAGCTGGGCGTTGTATAAAAATGGTTAATGAACATAAAATAAACTAGGTATATTAAAAATAAAAGTTCTAGAAGACCTATAAAATACCATTTTAATATTGACATTTAAGTAAAACCACCATAAAACAATATTTTTCACACGATTTTTCATTATGTTAACATTTATGCATTATATTAACATATTTGATTAATATTCACAATCAGCGATAAATTATATTGCATCTAATATATATATATATATGAATATATACGGGCAGCCGCCATGAATCGTACGTCGACTAAAAGTTGTGACAAAACTTTGTAACGAAACCGGCCAATCGCGTAAACATATATGTGCATTTCGTCATTGAATTGTATTTAACAATGTACTAAATATTAATAAATTAAAAATAGGTACATAGTTGGATACTCACGTTCGGTGCGATTTTGTGACCCGCGGAGACGGACGGAGACCGGACGGACGAACGCGCGATATTTGATAAAATATGACGTCGTGTGTGCAGTCATGCGCGTGTTACTGCAAAGTTTCGGGAGGGGAAAAAAATGAAAAAAAAAAAAACGAAACGTACCAGACGGTGAAAGTGATCGGTGGAGGTGGTCACCAACACCCCTCTCAAGAAATGTGTGATCCGACGGTACGGTTTTTTTAAATTATTTTTTTTTTAAATGCAATAAAAACAAAAGAAAATAATACGTGTCCGCAGGTTCAATCGTGTGTGTACCTGTCACCCGTAAGCTGTGCCCTATCCTCCACACACCTGTACAACATGCGCATACATCGATACGTGTTTAATCACGTACGCGCATACGCATCTGTACGTTGTGGTAGGTGTACACGCAGCTCCGTGGTTTGATAGAATATGGAGCCCCGGGGGTAGTGGATAAAATCTAGAATCCCTGATTAAAACGATCTTTAAAATTCAAACTATTCATGTAATATTGTTTAGCCAAATGTGAATACGAGCTTACAGCGAAACTATAGACAAATAATAAACAAAATAATACATAAAATGAAAAGAAAAATCAAGTTTTTCGCTATAAAAATTATAATTTTATATTTTTATTGGATTATTATTTTTATATTAATTATTGGATTAATTAGAATTTATTAATACGTTCGTAATTGAATTTATAGTATGTATTTATAATATGTACGTGGACTAAAACTATCAAGTTGATTTACGTATATTGATTTACTAAGTAGTTTAAGAGTTATCTAATGCTCTGGGGCCCCGGGGCACTGTTCCAATTCGATCTATGCGCTAGCTGCGCCGCTATGTACACGTTATTATGACATGGCAAATTAACGCTCAGTAATTCAACTGTAGTGATGTTAGCTTTGATATTAGAAAAAAACTAACCTACAATCAAACTTTAAGGGAATAGCATTATCTGTGTTTTGTCGATCAGTTTTATTTCCGATAGTTTAATTTTTAAGTGATAAATGAGTAAAATGTAATTTAGTATAAATATTGCAATTAAAAAAACCCATAACTCGCATAAAAATTAAAATATCGGAAAAAACCGACCAACAAAACATAAATAAGTAATTCTATTCCCAAGTATTATTATCGGTCAGTTTACTCTAGTATTAAAGCTAAAATCACTTGAAATCCTGAATGTAAATTTGGTACGTTGTGCGTACGTTAGACGGATACAAACGCGGGTGTGGCGTTCTTTCAAGTGCAAACCGGTTACCGATCGTGGACGTTACTACGTGAAATCGAACACGTAGTCGTTGTCGTCGTCACGTGTATCGTATGATCGTAAAGCCCACGCTAAGATCACCCGGCTACATTTTACGTTTTTTTTTTTTTTGCATTTCGACGAGTTTTTTATATATATACTTACATACGCAATTGATAGAATCTGCAAAACGTGGTCGCCGTAGAGGTATAACATTATAATATTGTTGTATAACATGATCTTATGTTCTTACGGTTTCTTTTTTGTAATTCGAGTATGATTTCTCCATGCCGTTAAGTCAAACTCTCTCGATTCTTCGTAGTCCTGTCACGAATTCTTAATATTCAAATTTTTTTTTCTCGATCATTTAACATCGTACTGCATTATATAATAAGATGTATAATTTACTGATAAATATAATTTGCGATATATCTGTTAACTGAAAACCTGGTCTAAACGCCATCGTATTGCACAAGTTCGTCATTCCGTATTATGTACTCGTTATTTCAAGAAACCCGTGATAACTAATCGATGAATTCAATACTTTGTAATTTAATTTTTACCCGTGCATTCGCTCTGTCTGTACTTAGATTTTAATCAATTTAATTTTCTATTTAAAATAGCATATTTTCTGTAATTATAAACCTAATTATCGTTGTAGCCCGAAGTAAACTAGATACGCGCATTTCAATAAATTTTACGTCGATATGATTTTTTTCATTTAATCCAATCTTTGATTTTGCAATCTGTCCAAGTTCTACCTATTAAAATTAATTATGATTAATGTTTATTATGCATTGTGTATACCTGATGTTTTTAATATAAAGCTACAAAAAACTTTCTCGTTTAAAAAATATTCAATTTTTTTTTTATTAATTGTAAATATTGATTATTTATAAATATATGCATTTATTCAAATAACGTTATTTTTTATTCACTTGGAGAATAATAAACCATTAAACATAGGGCTTAATGAATTCAAACTCACACTATTCGAGTTTTTAAGATTACATCTACTATGGGCTAACATTATCTATTGCTTATTGAAAATTTCAAAGTCACTTTTTTTTTTCAATGATAGCGTTTTTAAACTTCGAAGATTCGTTTTCATTTTTTTTTTCAAGTATATCTCACTTACAGAACAGCGTTTCATATTTCTTTCTATTATACCAAGACATATGAATAACATCATTCTTCAACGGTTACTAATATACTCGTATTTAAACATAATTTTTTTATTCACTATACATTTAAATATTAATTAATATAGTTATTTTATTATATTTTGTTTCAGTTCGGTTTTATTTTTTACTAAAAATTATGAAATTGTTCAAATAATCTAATTTATTCCATTAATTATCTTTATTATATCCATACTATTTTATTTATATAATATCACATAAATTGAGGATTATACTATGTAAATTTGAATCATTCCATCCAATTATTCATATTATCATATCCTATATCCCTATGTTCTATAATTATAATTTCTTTATGGTTTTTTTTTTTTTATAACACTTTGAGTAATGATCCTTATTTCAAAAAGTATATAAAATAATAAGAATATAAAGGCACAAATTATTCAGATAATTCAAGAAAAATAATTTATGTATTTTCAATGAGAAACATGATAAAAGTTGCAAGCATATTTATAATCCAATGACTTTAAGAAACTTTTGTTGATCGTGAGAATTATAAATTCTGTAACAAGCATTAATATTAAAAAAAAAAAAAGCAAAAAAGAAAAGAAAGTCAAAAATTGTACCTAGAGTTAATAGAATTAATAAAATATCTAAAATAATGTTTTCCTTTAGCATTCCTAAACGGCTGGAATGATTGCAACGAATTTTGGTACAGATATATATATATATGTATAATCTATATACAGAAGATAGACTAAGTTAGAAAATGATAGGTCCAACCCCGGTAGGTGCTCAAACAGACATTTTAAGATTTACGATGACAATTTTTATTTATAGATAATATTAGTGAGAAAGGAATTATTATTCCTGAATTTCTTATTATTATTTTTTATTATTTGTTTCCATGGCACGTACGTCTATGACATTAAAATGCATAAAAAAAAAATGTATTAATGTCACCTCACGTTCTAACATTGAAAGTTGGCGTACTCATTATTCTTCTACAAAATATCAGTCCACCACAATACTGCAACGGTACCAGACTTTTAGTAAAACAGTTGATTGAAACTACAATTTTAAACGGGAAGTTTAAAGCCAAAGATGTACCTGCTTTTGCCTCGCATCCCAATGATTCCAACAGATATGCCTTACGAATTCAAATGTTTGCAGTTTCCGGTGTGACTGGCTTTAGCAATGACCATTAACAAAGCATAAGGATAATCTCTATAAGTGTGTGGACTGAATTTGGAAAATCCATGCATCTCATATGGACAGCTGTTTATGGTATGCTCACGCGTCAGAAAATGTTTTAATTTATTTGTGTACGCACCAGAAAGAAGAACAAAACATTTTGTGTGTCCAAATTCACTTCAATAAATATCGTTAAATTGAATACTCGAGTTTTCGGAATTTTTTCGATAATACGAATACAATTACATAATGATAAACTAAATTGATTATCATATTTACTTAGTATATTTTAACCGTTATCTATAGTGTCTTTATATATAAAAATATACTGCTAGTATAACCACAGGTAACAGATTTGACACAAAGTTTGAGGCATATAAGAGGTAGGATTTTTAACGGGCTACGAAGTGCAGGGTTCAGCAAGTTTATAATATTAAACCATTTTGAATTAAAGATACTATAACAAACAATATGAAATCAATTTCTTTACGTGTTTTATTTTAAGATGTATAAGAGAATACAAATATAAGTAATTGTTTTTTTTTATATAGATATTTATTTTTATTAATTTAGGTTAAATGTTCACAGTTAAAGATTATACACATTTTAATAATAATAATAACGAACAAACATTACACTAGGTACATTTGACAGAAGTTTCATTTAAAACTATTGTATTTTCTATATTAGTTACTTGTCACTTATTTATGTATAAATAATATAATTATGTTGGTATTATTACTTATGTATTTAAACAGTTGTTATTTTTTATAATCCATTTAGATATTTACTTAAAGTTAAATATTTATTTAAAGTGAAAAAAAATAAAACTAGATACTTACTATTTTTTAAAAGTATATATATAGAAAATACCAATTATGAAAGATACAAATAGAACCATTAGAAAAAGCATTTAAGAGTCAAAAAAATGTTTTATAATATACACTTATTATCTATTTTATTACATAAAGAAATTATACCTTTTAGTAAAACTACCAGTTTTCAAAATATAGACTAAATTTATACTCAATTAATAACCTATATAAATTAGTATTTAATATTTTATTTTAATTTTGTTTTGAAACACAATTTTTTTTGTTTGTATTTTTTAGTATAATGTATGTATTTTTTTATTTATTATTCAAAAAATAGAAAAGGTTTGCAAATATTATAATAAATAATATCATAATAAAATTAGTTTCAAGACTTCTGTAAGAAGTTTTAATAAATGAAAAAAATTAGGAAAATATTAAGAAAAAGAAATGAACCCATACCCTGGTTTTCAGTTTTGGGGAGTACATTATATTTCCCTCATATTTTTTAATCTTTTACGACACATAGCAAATTAAATTATTTATATTTAAATGAATCGTGATTATAAATGTATGTGTGTTATTAAACTAGCATACTTTAATTTAATATGTAATTAATAATAGTTACGTAAGAATTAGAATTTTTTTTCAAAATTAAAGCGACTATATTTATTATAAATATTAAACAAAGACAATTAGGCCTGGGATAGTCACATTTAAGAATGAGTTACAAATAAAATTTAGAGTTTAGTTTAGAAATCCAGCATTATATACGAAAAAAATAATAGATTACACGAAAGCAGGGGGCGGAGAATTAATATTTAGAAATAATTAATTAATACGCTATGTACTATTTTCAATTGTAATTATTTAATCGAAAAAGTTTATAGCTAAGTGGGTAAGCATTGTTTGTCATGAATTATCAGGAACAAATTTCCGAAAATAAATATACATCATATTTATCCATAGAGTTATTATCCAGCAAAAATATTAGGTATATTGTAATATTTTGTTTTATTCGTAAAGACTGGCTAAAATACTTTAGGAATCTTACAATACAATAATAATTACTAAGTTTTGACAACGAGAAACAAAGGACTTTTAATTTTAATAAGATATATGACTTATATTTTATAAAATAATGTATATAATTGAATACGTTAAACCACAAGACAAATTGTTTTCCTTTACATTACTCATTTATTAAAATATCTTAGATATATTAAACTCTGTGTCAAACTATGCGTGAACATTTAAACGGCACAAAAGTTTTTGTTACGTAACATTAATTTTGGTACACAATACTGACTAAGGTAAATTTAAAATTTAAACATAATAATTAATGGTTATTAAAAAAATTAAACATTATAAAAATACTAGAATATTTAGAGTTACCTAGAAATGAACAATAGGTTTTTGAATTTTTTTATGACTCAAACTTTTTTTACATTTTTTTTATCTTTGATTTTTATGATTAATACCATGAAATTTAACGGATGAGTATTTTTGTTTAATGTAATTAGTTTTTACTGTTCAATTCATAAAATTATTGAAAAAAAAAAATCATTTTTTTCAGTATCTCACACATTCTATTTTATTTATTTAAATACATATCATCATAAAATTTCATTTTGTACAACTTTGAAATTAATAAATGTAGGATGTCCAATAATTTAGATTTTAAGCGAAGAGAAGTTATATACCGATTGATTTAAAAATTATTTTTTAATTTTATTGAAAATGTTTAGGAAATATTGGGTATTTCAGCAAAATTTTAGTTATTTGTAATATTACAATAGCTCATTATTGAATGTAAATGATATAATTTTTCAATATATGAAATAACTATTCAAATTTGATTTTTATTTCTTATATTTATTATACTACCACAACACATTCATGTTTGATAAAAAAAGCCATATTAATGTATTACTTAATACATTATTAAATTTATAAAACATAATTTGAAGTATTAAAACATCTAAATTTTTAACCCATTCAATATAAATGGTTGTTTTTTTTAAATATTGAGAAAAATATATTTTGAGGTATAAATGAAAGAAAGCTTACATTTGCATTTATGTTGTTAAATTATGTTCATAACCTTATTGTGAAGGTAAAAATATTTTCAAAATTGCATAAAATATAATATTTAATATTTGTTTTTGACTGATATTCATTCGAAATCTTTATTAAATTATATAAATTTGTCATTGTTTTAAATATGCATTAATATATATATATATATATAATATAGAAAATATAATTCCATTACTAGTAACAGATTAGAAATAAATATATTAGTTTTAATGGTATGGCGTAGATGCAAGTCAAAGTATAATTTTTTCCTATTAAACATTAATAATGTTCGTTAATATATTGTTAGCATGTGTTTAAATATATTTTTATGTTATAGGAAAGTTGAATATTGAATGGGGATCGTGGTGTATTATTATGACAGCATTCACTTAGACGCGATACTTGTCTCTCTAGATACAATATTGTAATGATACGTTATAAAAATAATGAACTATTACCTTTATATCGTTTGCTTTTAAGTCCTGTCCATAATATACAATTTATTTTATCAGGTTAGTTACAACTGTTTTGTATTTTTTTTTTTGTTTTGTCATAAAATGGAAAGTATAATTTATTCATAAAAATATGTAAACGAGTTTCCGCTTTCAAAATATTTTAACACATCAATGATAATTAATTTTTTTTTTTTAACGACTGCTTACTTATCAAATTGGTTGATTAAAGTGATTTAAAAGTGTATCTTATTTAAGTTGTTAATATATTTATGATTTAAATTTTGATGATTATTATTTTTGCTTTCATCTATATTTTATATTATAGCACATTAATGTTTTATATTTAAATTGTAATTTTAAAATATTTAACACGCAATAGTATTAAATAAAATGTAATGCTTTGATGAGGTAAAAGCTACATCGTCAGAAAACAATTGCCATTAAGTTTATATCTTCTCTTTTTGATGTTTGTTTTAACCCTTTGATAATATTTTGAGGTTAAAAATATTAAACCATCTAACAGTATCTTACCGGATATCGTGCTATGCAGTTTTAAATTTTGAGTAGTACCTTACGTACGTATTTAATATGTTATTTTTAATTATATTTTATATTATAAATAGATTTTAGCTGTTAATATAATAAAATAAAAGTACAAAAAAGTTGTTTACTCTTCAGTCATTTTTTAAAATATGAAGAAGGATAATGAAATAAAATCCAAAAAGCAAGAATAATAAACAAATCGGTTAGCAAGTTAGTGAATTAAACACACCTGAAAATGTTTTGTCAAAAGAAATCAGTCCAATACAATATTCCAAATGAACAAATTTTTTTAACGTTATACTTGAAAAAAATTACTTAATTAATTGTTTAAAAAATGAATTTTGTAGGTATAACTTTTGTTTAATTAAAACTTAGTTTTGAATAGATATAGCTATAATATATATTATATTAAGTTTATATAATATCTAAACGAGTATAATAAAATAATTATGTACGTAAAAATTATTCATCATTATCAATTTCTCTACTGTCCATCATTTATTAATTTCTAATTATGGTATATGAAAAATTTAAAATACAATGGAAAATTTGAACTCTTCATTATAGCGATTTATATGTATACATGTGTGTATATGTATGAAATGAATCTTGTCTAAAATGAAACGTATGATTCGTTTTCTTGGTTTAAACTATATAATGACGAAAAAATATGTGCATAATAATTGGGAAATAGATTGTAAAATAAAAAATAGGCAAAAGCATTTGAAACTTTATATTTGTTGGTCCCTATAGATAATCTGCTTTAGAAAAGTTTCGGGAGTCATTATATTTGGTTTTTTTCGAAAAAAAACTTTATTATTTGCATATAATTTTACAAATAATTTAACAAAAATACATCTACTTAAAAAACAAATAAGTGAAAACAATATTTAAAATTTCCTTATATTTCCGACAAATGAAACCGATTTTACACTTAATTAACACGTATACAACTTATTCAAATTCATAAGAAAAAAAATTATTTGTCACGGCTACACGGCTACTATTATTTATATATATATATACCAGTAGCCGGCAACTGTTTTAGGCCCTTGGTTCACATTCAAAAATTTTAACTGATTCACGGACCGGACAATTCAAATAATTGATATGATATATAAGTATAATAAAATTTCCTAGTTTCGGAATTTAATACAGACCGTATAAAAAAGACGTGTGGGCCGTCGGTTACCGATCACTGATATTTACTATAATATATTTAAGTAAAACTATTATGTTTGGCATTAAAATGAAATATTATTTATGCTAATTATTTCCATTTTCGTAGATATTTATTTATTTGATATAGGTACTTCAATGATATTTTTTTATAAAAGATATCGACAACATATTTTAATAATATAAAGTAGGTACATCTAATGAATTTCATTGTAGCATAAAATATGTAATAAAGGTGCTAAAGAATTTTTATAGTTCAAAATGTGTGAATATTTTGACGCAAATGAGCAAATAAAATTATTTAAAACATAATTCATATTTTTGGGACAGGAAAACAAATTCAATTCTATTAACTTTTACGATAACTATGAAATTATTTATTTATTTTTGTTGTTTCATCAATTTAATGTTGAAACAGTTTAATGATACATTTTTGTGACTTATCGATTTTATTTAGTTTGAAATACTTTTATTTTATAAACAATATTATTAAAAAAGAACTTAAGCACTTGTAATACGAAAAAAAAATGTAAAATAATTGAATTAATGTAGTCTACATTACATAGTTTTTTTTTTTTTTTACATATAGTTAAGCTATATTGTTTTTAAGACTTTAAAAATATACCTATAATTATATGAATTATTCAATTTAGTATAAACATTATACCTAAAAAGCTTTAAAAATATACCTATAATAGTTATATAAATTATTAGAATTATAAGAAATTTGGGTAAACTTGGATTTTGTAATTCATTAATGGATTCCAATAAAATTGTTTTCATGCTCATCTATTGTTTTGTTATAACAATGATAAGTTGAAAGTTATAAAATGTAACGATAAATTATTATTGAAAATAAAAGAGAACACGATGCTTTTTGGGAGAAAAATTTTTTTTTCAATATGAATATTATTTTACACTCTAAAATGTCAACTATAATTTTTATCAAGCCTACGTCCTTAGCCTTACCCTTCATTCATAGTGTTTGAGATTTACTTCGGAGTTGTAGAGACTTATTCTATATATACCGCCGTAACTACATAACAAGTTTCCGAAAAGCTTGTTTTTCAAACCAGAAGTGCACTTGTATCCCTAAGATAAAAAGTTTCCTTTAGGATATTTGCATTCAAAACACAGAAATTTTTCAAACGTTATGTGTTTTCTCATTGTTCTTCAATATTTAAAAAATGTGAATATGACTCTTTTTATTATTATTATTTTTTTAATTGAAACCTGTTAACCCTATTATTGCATTGTGTTTTGTTCAGTCGTGCCTAAGAGCGTTCTTAATAAAATTCATTCAATGAATTGAATGGAGAATTTTTTATTGACGCTTTAAGTTATATAAAATATACGAGAATTTAAAAACTATACACATGTAATAAAGGCACAGAAAGAAATCAATTTTATATATTTTACTATGCTGCCGTGGTACTTTAAAAAATATAATTGGAATTTTCGGTTTTTGTACAGTTTTATTGTAAGTGGAGTTGGAAAATATAAGCAAAGCATCATCAAATAATTATTTAGATTCACAGACAGTTGTACGAATTTGGAAATATATGATATAAATTAACTCATCGTGTACACCGGATAGCGAAAGAACAAATTAATTTTATATTAGTCACGTCATAGTTGTAACTTTTAAAATTAACGACCCAAGACTTCGGAATTACAAAATGGTACTACGCCATCAGTAACCGACACGGGTAACGGACTCCTTTAAAAAAACTTTTGTACTGACTAGCTATTGTTAAACGTACTAGGTTTGGCGTAATTTTTTTTTTTCCACTGGATCAAAGCTCAACATTTAAATTAAACAAAAAAAATAAAACCACTATGGGTATTGAAATATTTGATGATGATTATGCAATTTACTTAATTGCAGAATAAAATCACTAAGTCATAACCAACATTTTTGTCTTTCGATAGTTTTTAATTTTTGATTTTTTTTAAATTGGTGCAATAATATGGTATACAGGCTGGAGACCCAATAATATAAAGTAATATTAATTGCTATTATTATGTATTCAATTTAATCATAAGTTATATTTCTTATTCTTCTTCTTCTTGGCTTTATGACTCTCCAAGAGTCTTCGCTGCTATCGTCAAAGCCTTCCATCTTTCCCTATCCTGGATAATATCTTTCCAATCTTCTACGTCTACTATTTTTAAATCCTGACTTACCACTTTGAACCATCACTTCCTTGGTCTACCCCTTGATCTTTTCCTACTTGGTTATTTCCCACTTTGGCTATGGTTGCCCTTATGCCTTTGCTTCATCCCTTCACATAACATGTCTGAACCATTGCAATCGTTGTGCCTTTACGTAGTTAGTTATCTTCGTGTTTTGTGTAATTTCTCGAATTTTGGCATTTGTCTTTCTTCGCCAACACCTTAATTCGTCATCATATAACGCACCACAAATCCTTTTTAATTACTTGTTCTCGAAAGAGAGTAACCTTTCCTCCATTTGCGCTATTTTCGTTCATAACTCGCAACCATACGTCAGCGTCGGTATAACTACAGTCATATACAGTCTTAATTTTGTCTTTATCAAGTATAATTTGGATTTAAAAACTTTAATGAAGCATAATAAGCCTTTTTCGTTTTGTGTATGCGGTTTACTATTTCTACGCTCTAGTCGTTAATACTCTTGATGGTAGCTTCAAGGTATTTAAAGTGTTCTACTTTTTCAAAAACCAGCCCTCTCACTGCAAATATTTTATGGTTGTTTCCCAATAATTCCATTACCTTGGTTTTTTTTTTTCATTTAACGTTAGACCTACTATTTTAGCTTTGTTAATTAATTTGGCTGCATTATTTATTACAGTTTCTTTGCTGTTGTCAATTAGGTTTAAGTCAACCGCAAACCCTAACATATCCAACTTTGATACATTACATCTAGTCTATATCCATTATGTTGTAAACTTCTTATCACCTTTTTAGCGCTACATTGAATAGCAAAGGAGAAAGTGCATCCCAGTGTTTAAGAACTGTAATTACTTTAAAATCTTCAGATGTGGTTTGGTCTATCTTGACCTGGTACTTCGTGCCTTCCATATACATTTTTATTAATTCTTTTAATTTTGCTGGGAACCTAAATTCAGCCATTATATTGTACAAGCTTTTCCGATGTACGCTTTCGTAAGCTTTTTTTTTTAAATCTACAAATACTTGTCATATATTTTTTCGAAATTCATATATCTTTTCTATAATTTATCCGATTACTGACAGCTGGTCAATCGTTGATTTATCATTTCAAAATTCATATTGATAATCTCCGATGTACTC